CCCAGCACAGGCTCTCTACCATGCCATGCAGAAAACGCCATTGCTATCTGTGTGCCATGGAAGGGGCAAGATGCCCAGTGGCAGGACCTAAGAGACCACCAAAGGCTGCCACTTATGTCAGGTGTATCTGCATGCAGGACAGTGCTATAGTGCCTACCATGAGAGCCTAAGATAAATTTTTCATGCATTAATTAATTCTACATAAAGACAAACTAGAATGGCTAAATACGAGAAATTAATAACTCAGAACTAGTAAATAATGTAAAAATAATGCGTAACTTTCCTTAAAATTAAGTCCAGTAACAAAACCATTTTTACCAGGACCTACCGATACAGCTAAATGGAGAAGATTTACGAGAAACAAACACATTCACATATCTGGGAAGCGTGATCAATAAGGACGGGGGAGCAGACGAGGACATAAAATGCCGTATCAACAAGGCTAGATGTGCCTTCAACTCACTTCGCCCGATGTGGAGGTCCACGGCCCTGTCACTCCGGAGCAAAATAATCGACCGATGTGGAGGTCCACGGCCCTGTCACTCCAGAGCAAAATTGGGATTTTCAACACAAATGTTAAGGCAGTGCTACTCTATGGCTCGGAGACCTGGAGGGTTACGAAGACAAATACTGATAGGCTACAGGCGTTCGTAAACAAATGCTTACGACATATACTCAAAATAAGATGGCCAGACAAAATATCAAACAAAGACCTGTGGCAAATTTTAAAGCAACAGCCAATAGAGAAAGATATCAAGGCCCGTAAATGGGGATGGATCGGACACTCGTTAAGAAAAGAAAAAGAAAACATCACAAAACATGCATTGGACTGGAATCCCCAGGGGGAAAAGAGGGTGGGCCGGCCAAGGAAAACATGGAAGAGAACGGTTGAGGAAGAGGCGAAAACAGCTGGTGTGACCTACTTAGGTCTAGTGATGTTTTATTTTTAGTTTGACATTGTTATAATACCATATATGGTTTGTGGTGCAACCACCGGTTTTTTTCCGCTGTCTTACTAAGAGAGTCTTAGACTCAGAAATTTTCCATCGAGAGATGATTGATTGTTTCAGACCAGATGACCACACCAACCAATGGTCTTATGAGTTGAAGGTGACCTTCCATGTTACCCAAGTCTATAAATAGATCGCCCACAGGTATCTCGAGGCAGTCCATTTTGACCAGGCAGTCCATTTTGACCAGTTGAATGTGAGAGAGCTTAAGTCCTGAGTGTGCTATGTATTATTAAGTTGTTTAAGTATCCTAGTATTATATTACTTGTGGCCAAGTGATTCTTGATGCTATAGCAGTGTTATGTGAACTGTGACTATTTTTATAAAGTGTTAGAATCTGTGATAGTATTTATTCTTACGCTTTGTAAGTTGGGTTTTGTTATTTCTAAACTAAATATTTTATCTTGTTTAATCTAGTGTTCTGCCACAACTTTGTTCACTTATTAAAGGTTGTATGCAGATTGAATGAGTTGTTAACTTCAATAGTTTCACTAGTTTTCCCTAGACCTCGAAATCGAGCCCTAGTGAGTTGTTGAGTTAGTTTTCATTCATTTAGGCTTTAGGTCATTTGCATATAACCCCAAGAAAGAATCCGGGAGCGTTCACCATCTATCTGGCTGGTAGATAGGTGTCCGTTACACTGGGCTCTCATGGGCACAGATTAGAGGAGCAGCCCAAAACCGAGTCCATTGGAGATGTGTGGTTGCAGCCCTTTGCTCCCCAGGGGCCACAAAGGAGTGATGATGATGAACAAATCCATTTAGCAAGATTATCATGGACTGCGTCGGTCCTTTGCCAAAAACCAAAGCTGGGAATGAGTATCTACTCACCATCATGTGCACGAGTACTCGCTTTCCTGAGGCATTCCCCCTGCGGAACATCAAGGCAAGGACCGTCGTCAGGGCCATGACCAAGGATTGTTCAAACTGACCAGGGCAGTAATTTCACTAGTCATCATTTCCAAGAAGCGCTGGCTAAGCTAGGCATATCGCACGTTGTCAGCTCAGCTTACCATCCACAATCGCAGGGAGCTCTTGAGAGGTTTCATCAGACCATGAAAACCATGTTGAGAACTTTTGTGAGAAGCAATACCCAGTGGGACAAAATTGTTCCCTGGGTGATCTTTGCCGCAAGGGACTGTATACATGAGTCTTTAGGATATTCACCTTTCCAGCTGGTGTTTGGTCACACAGTCCGTGGTCCTCTCAAGCTAATTCAAGAGCGGTGGACAGGCATAGAAACCCACCCAGTAGAGAACTTTGACGAGTTTCACCATCGCCTGAAAACCGTGTGTGATTTGGCCCATAAGAACTCGAGAAAGGCCCAGGTGGTTATGAAAGGACAGTATGACAAAGGTACTCACAAACGAACACTCAGTCCTGGTGAAAAAGTACTCGTTCTTGTACCTAACCTTAACAATGCTTTATCTTTAAGGTACTATGGACCCTTCACGGTCCGTGCTAGATTGAATGATCTGAACTACGGAGGAAGAAACAACAGATATATCATGTTAACTCATTAAAGAAGTAATATGATGATAGTACTGATTCTCTTTCCACAGCTAAGGTTATTTTACCAATATGTGTGTCTAATGAATGATCTGAACTACGTCATCAACACTCCAGACAGAAGGAAGAAACAACAGATATATCATGTTAACTCATTAAAGAAGTACTATGATGATAGTACTGATTCTCTTTCCACAGCTAAGGTTATTTTACCTATAAGTGTATCTAATGAATCTGATGATGTTATTCATGACAAGCTAAAACCCCCAAAGTTGTTAAATTCCTCATTTTTAGCTCATTTAGATGACCAGTTTGTACATCTGTCCACTGATGAAAGTCAAAAATTGTCACAGTTAATTGATACCTTTCCCTCCATTTTTGGGGATATTCCTAAAGATGTCCCCCCTCACGATGTTGATGTAGGTGATGCTAAAGCTGTAAAGCAACATCCCTACAGGTTAAACCCTGAAAAAGCTGTTATCATGAAAAACGAATAGGATTACATGCTAGAAAAAGACATCTTGAACCCTGTTTTAGCAATTGGAGTTCCCCCTGCCTTTTGGTCTCAAAAAGGTGATAGTTCTTTCAGATTTGTGACTGACTTCAGGAAAGTCAACGCACTTACCAAATCTGACTCTTACCCATTGCCTAGAATAAAGGATATAATTGATAAAATCGGACAATCAAGGGTTATTTCTAAAATTGACTTGTCAGGGTATTGGCAAATTTCTTTATCAGAAAGGGCCAAAGATATTTCTGCATTTGTTACACCAAATGGGTTTTACAGGTATAAACGCATGCCGTTTGGTATGAGGAACGCTGGGCAAACGTTCCAACGTGTCATAAACTCTGTTATTGCAGATATTAACAAATGTGATGCTTACATTGATGATATTGTAGTGTATTCAGATTCATTTGAAAAGCACATTGTCAGAGATTAATTTCACCGTTAATCTACATAAAAGCGAATTTTGTAAAAGTTCTATTACTTATCTAAGTTATCAGGTGGGTACTAACCAGGTTAGACCCATTCAAGCAAAGGTTGAAGCTATTGTGAAATTGCCTCCTCCCAAAAATGTTAAGGAAATTAAAAAAAAGATTCCTGGGGATGGCAGATTATTACAGGCGTTTTTGTACGAATTTTTCAGCTGTTGCTGAACCATTAACTGCTTTGTTAAAGAAAGGTGTTGATTTTGTTTGGTCGAATGAGTGTCAGAATGCTTTTTTAGACATCAAATCCTTTTTGTTATGGCAGCACCAGACTTTAGCAAGCCTTTCAAACTTGCTATTGATGCAAGTGACTCAGCCATTGGCTCTGTCTTGTTTCAGGAAGACAACCAAGGTATTGACCACCCAATTGCTTTTTTTTCTAGAAAGCTGAATGACAATCAGAAAAATCAGTAAAAGTTTTGAGTGATACGGGCTGTGATATAATAGGCTGCAGAGAGAGCCTATCATATGGGCAAAGCAACAAAGATACAGTCACTTGTGTTTAATTTAATGGCAGGAAGGTCACTTACAAGGTAGGTTGGATTAGAGTTGATTCACCTTTTTTTACAGGCAGCTTTACTTAAAGACCCGCCTGTAGATTTAATTATTGGGAACATACATGGGGCAACAAGGGGAGATGACCCACAGTTAGCTGCGGTCGTTACTAGAGCACAGGCTAAGAAATGCCAAGTTACAGAGCAAACTAGCAGGTTTGTTACTGAGTTAGACGTCACAGTTGATAATTTTAAACAGATGCAAGCAGAAGACAAAACACTTAATGTGAGACGGCTTGCGAACCAGCCCCCTAACCAACACTCACCCTCACATGTCTTCGTTAACAAAGACTGTCTATTGGTCAGACGATACATAGCGCCCGACGGCCTAGGCGATGAGATGGAGCAACTAGTAGTACCTACACAGTTACGTCAAGCTGTAGTAGAGGAAGCGCATGATAACAACTGGTCAGCTCACATGGAGGCCAGGTATAAGAAAGACAGTAACTAACTATTGTAATACTTGTGAGGTCTGTCAAAAGCTCAAGAAACCTAGTGAAGGGGGCCGGGCTCCTTTAGGAATGATGGAGGAAGTAAACAAAATCTGGGGTACGGTAACGATAGACATAGTCGGTCCGATCAATCCCATGCCTACTAAGGGGTACAGGTACATTCTGACCTTAGTTGACATTGCAACCAGATGACCTGAGGCTATCCAGCTGAAACCCGTAACTGCAGAAGATATACAGGAGCCTTTGTCGGGCATTTTTTCGCGCAATGGCGCTCAACTGACTAGCGACCTGATGACCCAAGTCATGTTGTTAAAGGGGATCAAACAAAAATTTAGCACCCCTTGGCACCCGGCGAGTAATGGAATGGTGGAGCGTTTTAACGGCTCGCTGAAAACCATGCTGTATAAGGTAGCCAATAAGAAACCAAAAGAGTGGGAAAGCCATATTCCTTTGGTCTTGTTCGCATTAAGGGAGGCCATACATGAAACCACGGGGTTTTCACCATTTGAACTTATGTTCTGGAGAAAGGTTAGAGGCCCTTTGTCTATTTTAAGAAATATTTTCACTGGTTGTAGTGAAGGCACTGGTAAAGATGAACAAATAACCAGCATATTATTCAAAATTTGGTGGGTTTTTGTTTCAAAGAGAAAAGTTATTTGTCCAACAGGGACAAAAACACTAAACAGGCATATGATTAATGCGACATGCATCTTCATGGCCACAAATCATTGATTGGTTTAGGCAGTGTCATTGAGGTCCAGACAGGGCTAGTATTGGATGTGCATGTTACCAGCCTTCACTGTCAAACATGTGCAACAACAGGAGAAAAAATGAAAGTCAATAAAGCTGAGTATGAGGTCTGGTTAGCTCACCACAAGGAAAATGGATGCACCGTGAACTATAGTGGTAAGTAATATTTGTATTTACTATTTTACATAGGCTATTGGTAGGACTAAATTATACCACATATCTTCTAAACCTGATTGTCAAGAGTAAAGTATTACCTGTTCATTTGAGATACATTTCATTCTTGTTCTCTCATTTCTAACTTAATTTCTTACCAAACTGTTGAACTAATAATTTTAATTTTTTTTTAGGGACATCAGGTATGATGGAATCTGAACAAGCTGTCACAATGTGGAACAGGTCTCTTTCTAAACACAACTTCAGATATCTGACCATGGTAGGCGATGGAGATTCAAAGGCATTTGAACAAGTAAAGGCACTGAATGTATATGGGAAGGACTTGGTTGAAAAAGAAGAATGCCTCAACCATGTCTCGAAGCGACTTGGCACCGCCCTTCGAAATGTTGTTCAGGACTCATCCAAAAAAAGTTTGTTGAATTATAACTTATGTTAGACATCCTATATTAGGTTGCTTTACAAAGATATTAGTCTTGAATTATAAATCTTGAATAAACTTTTTGAACATTGAAGTTTTTTTTTTGTGAACTAAAATATTCTGGGGTTTTTTTTTCCCAGAGATAACCCTTGGAGGAAGAAAGCCTGGCAGCCTGACTGCAGAAAAAATACGCAAATTGAGCATTTATTATGGTAGGGCTATTTGAAGTAACAAGACAGCTGAGGCAATGAAGAAGGTCATCCTTGCTTCACTCTACCATAATTATTCCACAGATGACTTTCCTCAGCACCAGTACTGTCCTCCTGGTCCCACTTCATGGTACATCTACAAGAGGGATGTTGCAGATTACAAATACCCAGGAGGACATGCTAAGAGGATGAAGACTTATTTAGATTTTGAGAGGCTTCATAAGCACATTTGGCCAGTGTATGAACGCCTCTCAGACATTAAACTTTTGCAAAGATGCGAAATGAGTACCACTCAGAATGCCAATGAAAACTTGCACCATGCAATCTGGTCACGATGTGCTAAGACAAACTTTCACAGCAAAACCAGGGTAGAGTTAGCAGCAATAACTGCAATAGCTGAGTTTAACTTTGGCCCTTCAAATGCTAGACAATTTTTACAAACGGTTAGTGGTAAAAATGCCAATAAACCTTGTTTCAACAGTGAAAAAAAACGTCTAAATCTGTCTAGAGATTATATTTCTGGAAAAGAAAATATCAGAAGAAAGAAAAAGGCAATAGCAGTTGCTAAAGCAGAAGCTGAATATATTCAGCAGCATGGCACTGTGGGTTATGGTGCTGGCCAATTTTAATAGCCTTGGGAATTATTTTGTTTTTTTTAACAAAATTTTGTTTTATATAATGTGTACATTATTACCTTTTATACATTAATTATTATTTAAATTTATTTGCAAATTCTATATATATTTGCTTGTTTAATTTGTAAATAAAAATCAATAATTAAAACCCTGATTTTATTAGCATTTATTGGGTAGTTTTTTTTTAAAATTGAAGTTTTTTCTCTTCTTTTGTGCTTTTCTCAAAACTACAAATTTGCCACTTCAAATTGCTACTCCTTAGTTAGTTCTACTTGTATCTTACTGAAACTTTACCTTATTATTCTACAGATACATACAAATAACTTCTATGTTCAATTTCTATCTAAACTTGCTTTATTTTAATTTTAAAGCCAGAAATAAGCTAAATTTGTACACATTTTAGTGTTTTTTATGAGGTTGATAGAAAAAAATTTAGAAAAAATTGTTAGCTTGATTTTTCTTAAAATGTGAAACATAGAACTAAGTAAGTTTAAATCGCCCATTGTAATGCTTGCATTTTGGTGTGTTTAGCACTTGTGGTTATAGAGCCTTAGCATTTTGAAAATCATAAACAAAAATCCAATATGGCGGCCATTACCATGGCAACCATATGGTAAAATAGATTTGTATACCTTTTTTAAAAACAACTTTCAGTATATGTTATATGGGTAAAGTTTCAATGGATTAGCTTGAATAATAACGAAAAAGTGCATCTTGTGTAGCACAGCCTTAATAAGGGAAAAAGGAGTGTATGGATATCTTGTAACTGGGACTGTTACTTTGTGAGAAAGAACCAAGAATTCGGGTAGCTGAGACAGTACATGGAAGTATATGCTAACTCAAACCTATTGTGTTTGTAAACTCTACAGTGGATATAGTGAAATACATTACATCAATTTACCAAAGACTACGTAAAGCTACACAGATCACCCTTCTGTCTTCGGGATGGTTTGATTTGACACCTGATTAAATCTTACAGGTTTTATGGTCTTATAATACATGCTGGGAACACCACGAAACTCAGACAGATTTTGAGGCAAGAATTTACTCTATGGTCTACAATGGACTGCTGCTCAAGCTTTCATATCATGCTATTGCGTTAAAGCTGTCATGCTCTTTTAAAGATGTCCTATCAAGATACTGAACATCCAAAAGACATATAAAAAATGCTTAGCTTATATCAAAATTAAATGCAGTAAATTTTTGTTATTGATCATGTAAAAGGCAGCATAAAAGAAGGGTCTAAGCCAGGCAGAAGCTGTGAAATCAATCCAGCTTTAGAAAACGAAACAGTTTTGAGGGTCCTGGAGGCATCAAAGGTGGGGTTTCTTTTTCAAAAAAAAAGAGTGTTTAGGCGTCATCCTGGCATTACAACAGTTTGTATGTTAGTTCTGCTCATCCCATCCTGGTGCTAAATGACCATAATCCATTGACCTACCTGAATAAGATGAGCACTAAAGATCAGAGGCTACTCTGTTGGAGCTTATTTCTACAGAGATACATGTTAGAAATAAGACACATAAGGGTCTAAACAACATCATGGCTGGTGCTTTGTCTCAAAGTAACCAGCAGTTCTGGCATGAATTACCTTAATGCTTGTTTGATAGCTAACAGGGAAAACAGGGCTTTAGCTTTTTGTTGTGGTTGTTAATAATTAAAGTCTTGAATAGCTATAGTAAGTCAACCCTGTATTTAATACAGTGACAATCTTATTAGGGGTCTGCATATAGTGGGCTTATTATTCAATAACAAGACAGAGGTTAGTAAAATATTTGTTACTTAACAGTTGGCTGACTACACACTTGAAATCAAGCTAGGAAGTTCTAAAAAATTAAATACTTGGGTATGTTAGCAAAGCTAGCAGTGGGGGGGGGGGGGGGGGGAACACATTATGGGGTAGGCCTAGAGATGGGACTAACATTGTAAACTAATTTTGTTGTATGCACAATCCTTTAAAGATTAATTTCTATTTGAAGCTTGTTACAAAGAAAATAAATCCATTTTAAACTAATGTAAATTGAGCATAATATGAATCAAGTGTCTCAAAAAATAATGAAATAATAAGTGCATTTTATTTTGAAATTCGCGCAAAATTAAGTTTCAGGGTTTCAAAAATTTTAAACTTTAGTTTCAGGATTGGTAAAATTTTGGGATTCATTTTCAGGATTCACTTAAAAAATGAGTGGCACCCCTGCATATTGTTGTTTGAGCTATCATATGTATTCGTTGAGTACGTAAGATAGGAATTTGATCTAGATCTAGATTCTGGGTTTAATGAGTTTAATGGTGATACCTAGATCTACATATTTTAAGTAGAAGGGTCACATAAATAAGAGTGTTGTTGTGTGTAAGAAAGTGATTAGTCACTTCTTAAACAGGTGAATCTAAAGTCTAGATTGATTTGGATCTATTGGTGGATACTATTATTAGATCTAGAATGGACACAGAAGAAATTAGAAAAATGTATAAGTTGGGACAGAGTCTAGAATATAAGGGTGAAGATTTAGAGAACTGGGTAGCTAGACAAATGAAACTAATAGAGGAGATAACTAGTAGGGCTTATAAATGTGAAGTTGCTAAACAGGAATTAGATGTAGAGAAAGTTAGGGTTCAGACTAATGAGCAAGCTAAAATGGAGATAGAAAAAGTAAAATTGGAATATGAAGTGAAATTGGAACAGGCTAAATTAGATAATGTGGGCAAGCATATAACTAAGGAGGTAAGAAATTATGAAAGTAACATACTAGGGAAGATTCCAAAGTTTGATGAGTACAAGGACAACCTTGACTTGTACATAAGGAGATTTGAAACTATAGCACGAACCACCAACGTTCATGAGTCACAGTGGGGGACACAGTTATTGGTATTGATAGGAGGTAAGGGATTGGATGCATGCCAGGGTTTAACAGAAGTTGAGATGAAAGATTATAAAACTCTTAAAAAGACTATTAGAATATTACCACCTGACAGAGGAAGCCTACAGAGTAAAGTTCCAGGAATTATTGCCAGAAAACACAGAGGATTTTCAAAATTTTTACGAACAATATTAGAACAAGTTTTGATAAGTGGTATGACGCATCAGGGTTAGATATGACAGTAGAAAATTTGAAAGAATTTATTCTAGTTAACAAGGTTTTGACCTCTGTTCATAAAGATTTATTTGGATATCTTCAAGAAAGGAAACCCAGAACTTTAGCTGCATGTACAGACCTGTGTCAGAAATATCAGGCAGCCCATCCAGGTAAAACCATTAGAAAAGCGACAGAATATGGTCATATTTTTTTAGCTCAGGGAGTAGAAAGAAATTGTAGTAAAATGGTAGATAACAGGAATATCAGAAATAATAATGCAAGTCCAAATGTAGTTTCCCAGGGATCGTATAAAACCATTCAGTGTTATAATTGTCAAAAAGTAGATCATTTAGGAAGGATTGTCCAGATAGGGTTAATGTTAGGGATGAGTTAGGAACTAGATCACAAGTTAGATGTTTTGGTTGCAATAGGCCTGGGCATATGAGGAAAGATTGTAGGGAATTTCAAGCGTCAGGGAGGAATAATTATAGGAATGACCAGGATAGTGTATACATAGGAGTCTTAAATAACAATTGTCAGGGTATGAATATTTTCAAAGCTTCTGTGAATAAGATGAATGCTGTGACAATCAGAGATACTGGTGCCTCCATTATTGCTGTAAGGGACAAATTTGTTAAATCTCATCAGTATACTAATAAAAGGAAGCATGTGAATGTATTTGGAGGTAAAAGCTATAGTTGGCCTGTAGCTGGTGTTTGATTGTTCTATTATAGCAACTTGTGGGAAGAGTTGGACATTGCTGAGTATGATGAGAGAAGTGCGTAAAAACACAAGAATACCTTATCTGATGGAGAGATTCCAAGAGAAACTATTAATATAATATGAATGTCAGTAATTGGAATATAATAAACTGATGTGAGAGTAACGCTAAAAGCATGAATGTATGAATTAATTAGGAGTTAATAATATAATGACTTAGCTGATATTGTTAGGGTAAAAGTATGTTGGACTAAGGTAATGTTGGTAGAAATATGTTGGACTTTGTGAAAGTGTTTGAAGCTAATGGGATTAGCTTGGATGGGGAGGGGGGTAATGTTATGATGTATGTTTCAGATAGATATTAGCACGAGTGCAGGTTGGTGGAAAGAGTATATTGAACACATTAGATTTGTGTAGAGAGTTGTTTGCTATGAGTTTGTGTGTGAGTTACTCTAATCTGATAGTCGGTGTGAAAGGACGTGTGCTGGTCGGTATTACTCAAGATGGAAGATAGATTCTAGAGATATGTATGTAGATACAAGAATAAAGAATAGAAGGAGTTATTGAGTTGGTCTTATCTATGAATGCCATCTAGTCGTCTGAAGGTGAAAAAGACTTATGGGTTCTTAAGGTTGTAACCTCTCTACATGGTAGTGAAGATGAATTAAAAAGGTACCAAATCAAATCAAGGGACTCAAACCTCGCACTAAGCAGCGTAACACAGAGAGAGAGATAGTGCATGAGAGTCGCCTCCCCTTGAAAGTGGTGTGCTAGTGAGAGGAAGTGTGGGAACGCCAGGGATAATTTAACCACTAGGCTATGCCTATTAGGCTATTATTTTTTATGTAATTAAAAACAAATGACTTGTATATGGTCAACAGACCAAAAAGGCAAAAGGTCAAAGGGAAAAAAGATCATATGTTAGTCAATGTTACATATGAAACTGAAAGCCTTTGTCAAGCTGTAGATGCTGTCTGCCGCATTCTTACTGAGAATGACTTGGATATTGCCCTGCTCCAAGAGACTCACCTCTCTCATGGTGTTCTGGGCTATTACTTCCATACCTGTCGATGTGCTACCGACAAGGTTGGTAGAAGTTGTCGTGGCGTTACAACTCTTATTCGGTCGGGGATTTGTTCAGATGACATTCCTATTGCTGATATCACATCTACTGATGCGTTGGGACATAAGGTGAAGGTAGGGGACCAGATTTTTTCCATTTTTAATATTTACCAGCCGTGTCGGTCTCGGGTAAAGTTACCACATTTTTCTGGGACCAATGTAATCCTCGCCGGGATTTTAATGCCTGCAGCCCACGTTGGGGTTACCCTAAGCGAGATAGGGTTGGACAAGCAGTAGAAGCCTTTCTTGACAAGCATGGGCTTCGAACGATGCAGTCACCATCTACCCCTCCCACGTTCATTCGAAAAGGTAGTGGGGCTTCG